AAAGAAAGGCTGAGGGGAATGTTGGAAATTTGGAAACTTTGGAATTGAGTTTGGGAGAGGTGGTTGTGGCCCATCAGTTGGCAGATTATGCATGGGGACGGACAGCACCCTTCCCCTTCCCCACAACGGTCTGTCATGCGGGGAGGGGGGGGGTGAGCATATATATATATATGTATATGTATGTACATGTGTCTGTGTATATATATACATATAAAAAAACATATCGAACAGTACAAAAACAACAACAAAAAAACGTTGCATGTCCAGCCCGGGCCATGCTCCCACCCCTGCTTCTCCTATCAAGTTTCGGCATCAAGCATACCTTGCAACCAGCATCAACTCGAAATCATATTCCCTCCCCTTCTCCCCCAGCTCGTTCCCACATCCCTCCTGTTTTTGCATTAGGCCGTTCAACCCTCCCGGTTCTGCCCACCCTTGTGGCTTCTCAGCCTTCCCCCTTCACCTTCTCCACCCGCTCGTTCCCAAATCCCGCCCTCCTAGTTTTTTGCTGTTGGGTTGGATTTTGAACGTTGAGGCCGCACCTATCCATGCCGCGCATCCTCCCAACAACACGGTCACTGGGGAACCTTGGGCTCGGAAGGCGCAGGCAGGCATCCAGAAACTGCACGGTCACTGGGAAGTTCATGCGCACGTTTCGAGCATGTTTCACGTTTGAGCAGCGAGGGAAGGCGGCTTCTGGGGAGGAGCTGAACTCCCGACTGGCAGCGCGGCGCTGCAGGAGCTGCAAGAAGGGCTCAAGATGAGAATCCGCCCGAAGAGCAAACGTGTAGGGGTTAGGTTAACATGAAGATTTATGCGTAGCTGAAACACTTCGAGGCGTTCGCTCTCTTTCCATTCGCGCGCCGCCTGGGGCAAGGCAAAAAGGACCTCCACAACGCCGTCCCACATCTCAGTGCTCCTGCAAAAGCCGAGATCTTGCGCTCCGACTTCGCTAAAGAAGGGAGCATAGCAGCGGAGCTTCGACGTCTCAGCCTGCTCCGCGCTTCCAGAACTATGGAAAGCAGCGAATCCTCGGCTTCGCATTACAGAACTGATGAAACGACCACACGCATTCTCAGCCTCTCACAAAATACATCTGCCAGTTGCTGCCCTTCAACCACCATCCACACTCTGCCTTGACATGGTGCTCTCACAGCTGATGGAGGTCAAGTCAAGCAAATGACTGGCACAGCAAGCCTCTGCAATCTCTGGGATGGCCAGCCAGAAGGTTAACCACCATGGCAGACAGCGTCCACGCCTCCAAGCACAGCCGCCATCGCGACTTTGGTCTCGGCTGGTATGTCGGGCCTGATGGCCAGTCCCATGCCGGCACCGGTGCAACCCGCGAAAGCCGAAGCAGAGATCCATCGCACACCTGACACAGGGACAGGCACCTGCCCCTTGCGTAGGACAGTGAAGAACCAAGGCAAAAACCACCTGCTATACGAGCGCGAAGCTGTCCAGTGGTCACTTGGTGGACACCCCGCGGAAAATCTGAAAGCTAACACATCATGACCGGACCCTCCAAAAAAACTGTGCTGTGTAAAATCATCCTTCCTAGTAGCGGCCATGTCGTGGAGGAGTCTCTCCAATACGTTTGCCCAGGAGTTTTAATGCATTGACAGTGTGGGGAGCTGGAAAATTCTGCGAATTGTCTGATGCACCTGGTTGAGAACATGTCATGTGCCAACCAGGCTTGGGCAGGGTGGCCGCGACCAAGGTTTTTGTTGTATGGGGGTCCGGCAATGCATTGGAAGCCCAGATTATCCCAGACGGCTACTCTTGGATCCGTTTGCTTAACATGGTCATGATGCTCGTAGGCCTGCACCCTGCTAGAACGACCCACATGAATTGGAGGCTTACTTCGATCTCTTCTTACCTGCAGACTTGACTTGTCTTCATGTATCGCTTGAACAAGAAGCGCGGACGGCAGGAGCCCATCTGAGACAGGCACGAGCATCTCCACTGCGGATCAGCTGGTACCAAAGACACAGCCTTTCAGCTCGTGCATCTTTCAATGCGAGTAAGCGGACTACAAGATTCTATTCACTTGGGCATGTCATGCATAGCACCTGAGCTCTCTCCAGAGCACAAGCAATTAGAACCCTGCCGTCAGCTCTTGCCGTACATAGCTCACCATGGAAACCGAAGAGAGAGTGGAGAAGGATAGGACCGGACCCCCCCCCCCCCCCCAAATCAAGGCGAGGCCCCGGGTCAAAGGCCAAGAATCTGCCGTTGCCAAGGTGTGGTGGACCCATGAAGAGTGGTGCTAGCGGGTAGCGGTAGCGGGAGCCGGGGCGAGCTCTCCAAGAGTTGCCGGGCACTAGAGACATTTCTTTGAAAAGCGCTGCGAAGTCCAGGGGCGGCCGGGAAAAAAAACTGGAGCTCCCGTCCACACTCAGGGTCCACCTCATATGACCGCAGCGACCGCAACTGGCCAAGGCAAGCACGCCCCAAGCCGTCCGAAGGGGATGAGATTGAAGACAGACCTGGGCAGCTGCGCACCCTTCTGGCTCACTTTGGGATCAGGCGGCCTGCGGCCTGCATGTCCGCGGCGAGATATACAAGGAGAGTAGCCAAAGATACGGTGCCTCGACAGGTGCACGAAAGACTCGGCGCCAAGCACTCCGGAGTTTGAGTCGCCAGGGCCGCTGGGGTCGGCACCAAGGTGACATGCAAGCACCCGTGCAAAAGGCTTCGCAAGCCTGGCCTCCGAAAGAATACGGCCACAAAAGAAGTGGCTAGGGGTTGAACTGCAGGTTCAAGCAGCACCTGCCCGGCGGCTTGCGACAGATGAACCAGCTAAGCCTAAGTGATTGCAATTCAGAGCTGCAGCTTGCTTGCGAACGCATGACACCATGAAGACTCGCTCAAGATCAACATAAGACGTCGAAGGTTGGCAGCCCTCGTACCTACCGGTGAGCATTTGCCTTTCAGCAACCATCTGAAGATCAATGGGCAACTAACACTCTGTCACAGCAAAAGAGCATCAGCCACTCCTGACTCACGTTGAACCCAGGATCCCGACAGAGCGTTCAGGTTCAACGCACCCGACAATGCAACGGCGAGCAACCACAATGGCTGCATCTTCAACCTCGTGCAGATATTGGCCGTCGACGACCACCAGCAACTCCCAGGCAGATTTGGGCCTGGTACGCAGCGCTGTCCAGACAGGCCTCGTCCTGGCCTCTCCAACAAGGCCTTACTGTTCATTCGAGACGCTCCATATAGGTCCACTCCGCTAAGCCGGCAGCCACGCAGCAAGGTGCGCCGATCCACTTTGCCAGAAACTGGATCCTGACAGCCAGGGAGAGAATCCCACGAGGGCAAGGCGATGCCATGCGGCACACGGCTCAGCATCGAGCTTTGGGCAGTGGCTTGCCAAGCAAGTGCAAAGCTGCTCCAGCTGGCACCAGAGACCGCGCACAAGCCAGCATCCTGAGAATCCAAGTCTAGAGTCTACAGATGACGTCTTATAACAGCACTGCTGTCCACATGACAATTTAGACTGACGTCATGTCGAGTTCTGGTGACGGGTTCTGGTGAATGGTGAATGTAGAGCAGCCATTTCACGACTAGTGTGAGTGTGACATCTTTACTGGCATCAGGGGAGCGAGGGAGGGACGGAGGGAGGGGAGAGGGGTCAGCCCAGCAGCAGGGAAACCGCACGCTCACATGCACGCAAAGAGCAGGCTCCACCAGGTGACGGAGGTCAGCCGGCCTGTGGGCAGAGCTGCATCTGTGGTCAAGCACCGTCACGAAGACATGCCTTAGAGCTTTGACCGGAAATGTGGCAACGAAGGGATCTCGCTTCAGGCTAGACAGAACTGTGCTAACCAAAACGCAACTCATGTTGTTTGCTGTGCTATCGCCTACATAGCTGCAGTCCAAGTGCGCTGGAACTGCGCTTTCTGCGTCAGCCGGAACCACAGCGACCTCGCATGTACATCTCTGATTGTTGTTCATCCCGGCTTATGGAGCCTGTCAATGCTGACAGATGGAAGCCATGCCGGGTCTTTCTGCCTCACCTTTTGCTGACTTGAAGTCGTGTCTAAACCTGTAGAACAGCGACACATATCTCTTGGGGTTCCCAGATTCCAGTCTTCTGCCTCGTCAGCGAAAACGTCGGACTCTCTTACCGTCTGCTCTGGTGGTGGCAGCATCTTCGCCTTGAGACCTGAACGCAGAACAGGATCCTAGGCCTGGATGGAGAGCTCTGGGGCACAGGCGCAACTCCACCTCGGCGAGATCCACGAATTGGCCACCGACCTCCGCAAGTTGGACATGGTGCCGCGAGCAAGGAGATTTCTACCAAAATTTGGAACGGAAAGGCCCAGGAGGAGTGCGAACTTGACTTCGTGCTTGGGACGCATGAGTTTGCCTTGACCAGCATGTCGCTGCGCCCTCTGAACTCCAAGTGCAACGGATTCTGGCTGACAATAGTCACCTCAGTTGTCCGGACACGAGCTCTGTACGCATGGCTCACCCTGCCCCCCAGACTTGGCACGCAACGACATCCTGCGCCTTGAAGAAAGATGCCTGGAAAGCAACTCATACAGTCAGCACGCAAGGTATCGAGGTAACTGAGGGGCGGTCACTACCATCTGGCGGCGTTACGGTCGAAACTGCATGTGTGCCCAAATACCTGTCAGCTCAAGCTGCTCATATGCTGCAATCAAGCCAGGAGATGCTTCGCCTCGAAATGACCATTGGTCCACGGAGGCAGAGCTGTCCAGTTGCACCACATTCTGTACAGAGCTTGCCGTCTTGAAGAACGGCAAGTTCAGCACCAGGCACACAGGAATAAATTGGCCTGCCTTCTGGCGATATCTGGCCCTCACTATACAGACTCAACCAGTACTCCGTGCTGATGAGAAGCTCAATGACACGACGTTGCCCCGATTTCCATTGCGCCCTCAGAACGGGCGACATGGACTCACCCCAGCAAAACACGTGACGAACAGTTGGAACAGCTTGTGGGTTGATAGATTGTAGCGCAGATGGGACTGTGCCCAAAATAGTCACGCCGTGCCTTGAAATGGAGTCCTGATCCATGCCAGCAATACATATGGAAGCCCCAACACTGACTGCAATATTGATTTGGCCAATGGCGCTGGCAGCCCATAATACAGGAGTGTGCTGCAACACACGATCCTTCGAACTCAGGTCTTTGAAAACCTTTGCGTATGCTTCAAACTCGTGCAGTGCCATCTCGTGTGACACACGCACGCATTTTGATGATCCAGTCGTGCCACCGGTCAGCTGATAACATAAGGCTGGGAGGTCACTCATGTCGGTGTTCAGGGGCACTGCTTCGATGTCTTCGCACACATCTGCCTGAAGAGCCTCCAAAGCAAGGGTGCGAGGCTTCTCCATCTGCTGCCAATCTGGAATCGCTTCTGGAGCAGCAGCTGAGTCTAGCAAGAGAAGCTCAGGATGCAACAGCTGCATTATGTGATCGTTTCGCTGTCTTTCTGCGTAGCGCCCTTTGGCTGGAAGCTCCCCCGCTCCCATCCACACAAACGGCAGTTTGCATCGCATCACCCCAAGGGTCGCAGCTAACCACCACGGTGAGCGATGTGCGAGAATTGCAACGACCTCGATAGCTCTGCCGCACTTTTTAGCAGCTCTGCACTCTGCAATGATGTGCTTCTGCGCGAGATGCGACTTTTGGCACAGCTCTTCCCACGTCCAAGATACACCACTCCCGCATATCGCGATGTGAGTAGGCAGCAACGATGCCCAATGATCGAATACATCGACGAAACTTGACGAGATTCCAGACGTTTGTGCCTGCTGCATGGACATCGGCAAAGCCCTGACCTCTCGACAAAAGTATGGGGCCTGCGAGGAATAAGCGCTAACCTGATCCAAAAAACTATGTACCGCATGCTAACGCTACGCATAAACGCGCTGGTTACAGTTTATGGTGGGCTCTCCGACAGTGTTTGGGGCTTGAGCTGCAAGTCGCCGGTGACTACGTCTATGTGCTATGCACTTTGTACAGACACTGTAGATGCACAACCACTTTGTTTGATTACATCAAACGTGTAACTACGCACACTTGTTGAGTGGTGGCTACGACCGCACTCAAAGAGACAAACAAGCTTGCCTTGCATACACTGGTATGGTATGGCACTATTTATCTTCTCTGGGCAGAACAACCTGGCTCCATCCGGAAACCGTAAAATTTCCATGGCATGTCATTACCTTGCAATTACTCTGGTTCCTTGTCAAAAGCAATTGAAAGCCCAGAGCACAAGCTGTAAACAGTGGAAAGGCACCCAGAATTAATGAAGGCACAGTGGTGGCTACGCGTGTGTTCACTGGCACATGCCACAAACTGTTAATTTACTGGAACTCGTGCTAGACAACCCCCACAAGATTGTACAGGGTTCGGGCAAATTGGCTCTGCGCCTATAGAAGCTTGGTAAAGAACTGTCAAGACTTCGGAATTTCGTATTTTTCACAGGCGACGCCAATCCCTACAACCACTTGCACTGAAGCAGAAGTGGGACTTTTTCTTATTGTCCCGCCGTTTGAACCAAGAGGGTCACGGCTCCAGAGTGGCAAGGGTTGAGGGTCGAAGGGAAACATTGAGGTGCAGAGCAAGAATGTGATATGCGAACTCAGCAGTGCAATCACTCTGGACGCAAGCTTCCAGTGTGTGTCGGACCTTCTTGGATTCCGTCTGCAGCGCCTACAAGCGGTACGAAGGGATGCATGAATGCACATATGGTCACCGACTGATCAACCGGCACAAGTAAGAAATTCAGTACAAGGCACTTCGACAAGAACAAGAGTAAAATCCAAGAGAAGTTTTTCAACTTTTTCCCGGCACTCCAGACTCAAACTCCGAGACAATTCTAGAGCAATCACTCGGACGCAGCTTCATTTTCCATGGTGTGTGTCGGACCTTCTTGGATTCCGTCTTCAACAGCCTACAGGCTGCACGAAGGATGATGCACATACGACCACCGGCTGCACCTGTACCCCCACTTCAGCCGGGCAGGGAGTAACACTTGATTCACCATTCCATCTTGTCAAAAAAAGCAAATTCTCTTCGATGCCAACTGCCTCGTTTTTGCCTGCTGGAAATCCTGAGCGCAGCTTGAAGCTCTTTTGTATATAGCTTGATGTGGCTTTGCGTTGTGGCAATCAACTTGAACATGCAGCCTGCCAATCCAGTGATGATTTTATGAGCAATGTCGATGGTCGTGGAGCGACCTGAACCCGTGGAAGTACGTTGCAGTGCTTGGACAACAACTAGGTCGTCCCAATCTCTTTTTTTTCTGTTTTGAATCTTCAAAGACTTACAAGCTTGATCGAGTACCGTTCGCCGGTGCATGAACCACGCCAGTCCGTGCTCATCTGTTGATCAACCGCGCCCGAAGGGCAGATGACCAACTATGTCAACTATGTAAAACGGCATGGCATGTGCCTCATGACGCCAAAACACACCAACCTCTTCCGTCCCGACTGAAGCAATATTGCTGGAGGCGCTTGCCTGCACAGGTGAGTGGCCGCAGCTCTGCCTTTGGGAAACGCTTGCCTGCGCAGGTGAGCGTTGGGACGGGTCTAAACCTTACAACCCACCAAATCTCAAGACCAACCTAAACCCTAAACCCTACAACCCACCAAAATCTCAGACACATTCTAAATTCTAAACCGTAAAACCCACTAAGATCTCAACCACCCTAAACCCTAAAACCCGAAAACCCACCAAAATCTCAAGACCACCCTAAACCCGAAACCCTCCAACCCACCAAAATCTCA